GGGATCAGTCAGATGCTGAAAAGTGATTATTGAGATCATTTTGATATCAAAAAGCTTGATATCATCAGCATATAGGAGAAATTGAGATTGCCTGATATACCGAGAAACGTCATTAACAAATAACACGAGAAGAAGAGGTCCCAAAATGTTAACAATGAAATCAAATAAATACATTGATTCTTTCAACCTCCTGGGAAAAACTCTACGGTCACGTTGATGCTTATTTGATGTACAGGTACTTCAGCTGAACCATTGTCTAAATATTATTCAGACAATGGCCAAACCACTATGGTTTTGATAGATGGCGTTTGCGAATGGATTGAATTGAGGTCTATATTTTCCGATTCAACATTACCTGTATTTTAGTCATTTTTGAGAGCTGATATTTGTTTTCTGGTACAGACGTAGACCTTTATGGGCCCCACTTTCTGCAATACTTTGCAACTGCTCAAAAATCCATCATCGCAATGACCAAAAGTAACGAATTAAGGTTTGAATTGCTACTTCATGCACCCTATTCGCCAGATTTAGTCCCCTCGGATTATTTTCTGCTCCCAAACTTGAGAAAATGGCTCAGTGGTCAATGATTTTCCAACAATGAAGAAGTGATGTCGGCAGTTATTGGCTATTTTGAGGAGCAAGACAGATCTTATTATAAAAACGCTAACGAAACGTCGCAAGAAAAGAGTATAGAGCTGCAAGGAGATCATGTTGGAGAAAATGAATACATTTTTTCCAAAATGTTTGTGTTTTCTTTGTTGGTTTGTATCCGTCAGGAGCATATATTGCTTTTCAGTATTAGGAAACAATATAGTAGAAAACGATTATAGTAAAGTAACACACCACAAACTCGACGAGCATACCGACGACCTATCCTAAGACATAAATCTTGAATCCGACCACATCGATTCTGTCCCGCTATTGTATGCCCATAGAATTATCGTGTCGACCATTCCTCACATCTCGGCTCCCAAAAAACCGCCCACTTTGCCTCCAGAAATGATTTTATGGGGCAATTATTATTCTTCATCGAATATCCATCTAGCGAAGCCCAAATTGGTTTTTAAAATGGGTGGCTCTTAGTAATAGCTGAACGATCAGAATGGCAGACCGAAGAGGAAATTCTTGATTTGAAAAAAACACCCTCAAAATAAAGTACCCCCCTGTGAGCAGAAAATTTTCATAAAAACCTTAATCAAACAAAAAAAATGTGAGGAAGTCAACGAAAGGAAGAAAACAGCTACTAAAATCTCTTTGAAATGTGAAGGTTCTTGCAAAGAAGTTTTTTTCAGATATAAACTGGAAAAAAAAACAGTCCAAAACAACAAACAACTACTTTCACAGGAACATTGACTTGCACGAAAGAAAAAGGTCCTTTCCAAGCAACTCTTTTCCGTTTTGTTTGTACGCCAAAAAATCATGAAATTGAAACAGATTTCTTTCATGGGAACGCTGGAAAACGTTATATTTGAAACAGTATTGAAATAAAATTCACAATCCTATCCTCATGAAACACTATCAGCCTTAATGGTGTACTTCGAAGTTTCGGAATGAAAATGATTTACTCATCTTCACCGTTGTAGACAAGACGAAGCACTCATTTCTTTCATTTCATTAACAGCTGATCTCAGCGATAGAGACAACTCTGATCTCGTCACGATGATAAGGTTCATAAAGGAATTATTTAAAGTGGAAGGATAATACTTTTAGGAGAGATTTGTTTATTTGGCGATTGAAACATTTTTTGGCTCAATACTTCTCAATTTGTTGAACAAAAAATGTGAAAAATTTCCATAGAAACGGATAGCAAAATCTTAGAGAGGTAGAAAGTGATAAAGCTTTTTTTCTCAAGAAAGTTCCTCTTTCAACTTATTAATCTGATGAAAACATCTTTATCATTATCGTTTGGCTATATTATCTATAACTCGCATCTACATTCCCTAAATTGTGGAAAATAGCACATATCACTCATAGGACAAATCAGGTGACAAATCAAATGTCAAAAACTATAGGCTCATCAGCAAGCTATCTACATTTGGTAAACTTTTGGAAAAAATACTCATGATCTTTTATTATATGATGCAAAAAATGTTGACACTGAACAACAACATGGATTTTCCCCAAAAGATCCGTAGAAACCAATTTAGAAACCATTTATTCTGAATGCATAAGAGAAAAAATGGCTGGTCTACTGCGCCAAAGGAAAGCAAAGACCAAAAAAAGAGAAGAAGAGGAGAAGAAAATATGGACAGTGGTATACAGATACCCCTGGTTTACGTAATTGATTCTAGTTGGTTGAATTTTTGAATAAATAAATGTTGGTATAGAGGTATTTATGACAATTGACATCATAATTGCCAAATCAAAAGCAAGTGGGCTCAGCATTATAATATGAATCGTCTTTTCTTTTTACGTTCTATGGGTCTCGAGAAGTAATAGATTTTAGGTAAAAAGTAATAGATACTTCAAAATTTAAACCGTGGTTTAGGTAATTGATTCTACATGGTAGAATTTTTGAATAAATAAATGAATATAGAGGTATTGATGACAATTGACATTATACTTGCCAATAAATCAACAGCAAGTGGACTCAGCACTATAACATGAATTTTCTCTTCTTTTTAAGTTCCATGAGTCTCGAGAAGTAATAGATTTTAGGTAAAAAGTAATAGATACTTCAAAATTTAAACCGTGGATTAGATAATTGATATTACATGGTAGAATTTTTAAATAAATAAATGAATATAGAGGTATTGATGACAATTGACATTATATTTGCCAATACATCAACAGCAATAGACTCAGCATTATAACATGAATTGTCTCTTCTTTTTACGTTCCATGAGTCTCGGGAAGTAATAGATTTTGTCGTGGTTTAGGTAAATGATTCTACTTGGTTGAATTTTGATATAGACTATAGAGGTACTCGTGACAATTGACTTTGAAAATGGTGTAATGACCGAAACTAGTCAATAAATATAGAACTATCGTGGAAAATAGACAAATGTATATCCTCAATAGATTTTTAGTCAAAAGTAATAGATACCTCAAAAATGTCGTCTGCGTCGGGCCCTTAAATACATTAGAAATCTATTACCTTTTATTACTATCGATTCTGAGGAAACGGTACTAAATTTTATAGCCTACATGGAACGTTGGTTTTGGTAGATTTTTTTGAGTCTAGTGACAGCATCCGTTCGTTGTGTACCACAAACACGCCTCTCACCTAAAACTCCCGAAGTTTCCATAAATCCTCGTGAAGTCTAGCGGGCTCGTCGGCGGGCCGCTGCGAAATTGTTAATTTCTCGTACGGAACGTATTTGCAATTGCAATTTGCATAAATTCGCAGTTACGTATGCGGCCTGGAAAGAGATTTAATTGCTCAGAAAGCGAGTTAAGACTGAGCTAGCTGCTCGCTGATACCCATACTGGGACTAATTAAATGAAACTTCTAAACAATTTTCGTTTCGGATTCGCGGAGACGGAACGCGAAAATGTTGGCGAGAGTTTGTATAGTTAATTGTGGTTTACTCGTACATGAAGGTTTTGCAAGATGGGAAATACATTAAATGTTGGGTAAAGCAGAAAGTTATAGATAATGTTAATGATCAGGAATTACATGATAGATAGATATACTCCATTGATCAAAAATCTAAGTTTTTTTCCAAGCTGTAGCACACAATTTGGATATAACAATATAAACATATCAAGATGCATACCTATATACCAATAAATAAATAGTTGACAAGTTTCCTGGACGTTTATGCTATGATTGCATAATAGCCTTCTGCTTTCATAAAGTTGTAATTCATTTGTTAGGATTTAGGGATAGGAAGAAGTAGACTTTAATTTGTTATTTGCCGCTTATTATAGTTTGAAGATCTCTGAGATCCTTCTGGATTGTATTTCTTATAAATCAGACACCCAGATTTCATAATAAAAATAAATGTGACTGTCAGAATTATTTCTTTCTCAAAAAGTTGCCGGTTTTATGATTCTCGAGACCCTGCCTTGCATACATAATACACAGCTCGTTTTCGCAAAATGAATATTGAGTGGAAAAGATGTTGGCAAAAGTAAAGGGGAAATAACGCAATTTAGTAAATTTTATTTTGAAAAAAATCAAGGATCATTCAGTTTTTAATGTTAAAATTTCAACACCTACGAAAGTTGTGCTGTTCCATTACAGAAAATAATCGAAATCAATACTGATTGCGACATCTCTCATTTGGTAGCGGAACTATTTAGTCGCTCCGAAAATAAAAAAATTGAGCAAAAAGATTATTTGATATTTTATTGCCTGAAAGATTGAAGATTTCTTTCTATCATTTTTCGGCTTTCAAATTAGAAAAACTAGATGTCGCACTCATTGTTCATCCCGCATTTCGAAACAAAATTAGTATTGATTCTTTTGCATAGATGTCAGAAGATACCAAAATGAATAAAGTTGGAAAAAATAAATGTTTTGTTAAGTTTGATTTTCTTGATCAATTTATAAATAATGTGGAAAACCCGTAATTTTGTTAATTTTATTTTGAAGAATATCGAGGGATCATTCAGTTTTTGATATTATAATTTCAACATCTACATCTTTCATTTGGTAGCGGAACTATTTAATCGCTCCGAAACTAGAAATTTGAGCAAAAAGATTGCTTGATATTTAATTGCCCGAAAGATTAAAGATTTCTATCATTTCTCGACTTTCCTATTGAAAAAACTAGATGCCGCACTCATTGGTCATCCCGCATTTCGAAACAAAATTGCTTTTTTTGCATAGATGTCAGTAAAAACTAAAATGAATAAAGTTAGAAAAATAAATCAGGTTTTGTTTGAGTTTAATTTAATTCAAAATCAATCTAAAAATTCAAAATTTGAACAAAATGAGTTCTTGATGCCGGAAAGATTGAAGAATTCTAATCTGTCATTCTATCACTTTTCGACTTTCAAATTTGAAAAAATAGATGTCGCACACTCATTGGTCATGCAACATTGAAACAAAATTAGTATTGCTTTTTTTGTATAGATGTCAGAGGATACCAAAATGAATGAAGTTAGGAAAGTAAATTAGGTTATGTTTTAATTTCAATGTTTTAATAAATTTAGAAACAATGTGGAAAACCCTTGTTACAACTTTCGGTTCACCGGCAAATCTTCAAAAGGGGTTTTTGGTAGCTAAAGAATTATCTCACCAACAGTTGAGAGTAAGTAAGGAACGGCCTGCACGTATGATTATCTTCAAAAACTCTTTTTTCTAGACAACTTACATCCTAAAACGAAAATTCGCCCCACAACTCCACCAGAAAGGAAAGAAACCCAAAACTCTGAGAAGTAGGCACTACGTTTATGAGCTGGTCGAAGATACGACCATAGTCAAGCAACCGGAAATAGACCTCATACTCACCTCCTATGTAGAAGGATATGGTAATATCGGGGAGAGAGTATCAGTACGTCCCAACTTTGCCTACAACAATTTGTTACTTCCCGGGTTAGCGGTTTATCCTACTCCTGAAAATACTGAGAAGTACAAAGATTTCAAGACCAATGACTCGGATGTCACATACAGTTCTGCAAATGCCTTATATGTAAGTATACATTTACTTTTTGCTTTAGACACTCAAAGGTTTAGACTTTTTTGCTTTAGACACTCAAAGCGCTGCAAAGAATGACACTCTCAGTCATTATGAACAAGGAAATGCCTTGGACTATCAAACCTTGGCATATCAAGGTCTCGTTTCGTAAATGCGGTTATGTCGTTCCGGAAGAAGCCATTGCGATTCCAGAAAAACCAATATCAGGCCCCAATATGGATTTGGAGAATAAGGAATTCGCAGTTACTGTGACAGTAATAAGGAAATCATTAATGTTTGGAACTGAATAAATACAAGTTTTTTTTCAGATTAATAAGCAAGAGAAGGTGGACGTGAGGTGTAGAATACATCATTGGAGTACTGACGTAGTGGATAGGATACCGTATACACACGAGTTCTGGGAAATTCCAACAGAACCGATTTTACCAGATCAGGAATCTGTTCTTAAAGCGATACCAAAAAGGCCTCCTGTGAAACATAAAGTTATTCCCAAAAATTAGAATGTTTCTGTGAAATGTTGAAGCGAATGAAATAAATACAGTGTTTTTTGTATTTATTACTTGTTACCTGCCACTTTATTTACCCAAATCGGTTCATCTGTTTTTTGAAATTGGGGGTCGCACAAATATTCAAAAATATGTCATAATTATGTTCCCACAGTTTATATTACTAGAAGTACAACAAACGACTTGCTACCCATTCCAAACATCAATAAAAATATTTGTCATTGCTTTTTAACGTACACATTATCAAAAATTTGTAATATTCTACCCCTAAGGATAAAACGTTGAAAATTATAAACCCTTCTCTATAGAATCAAAAAAATTTATCTTAGAAAGTAACTCTGAATTAATCAAAATATTAGAACACCAATAGATACACTGCCACTAAATTGTTTCCTAATTCTCTGCACACAACGGTAATTAGATCTAAAGAAATTAATTTTAAATGTTCAAGCCAGTCTTAAGCCGGCTTCTAACGGCGCGGGACTTGGCGAGTCTGGCTCGCGAATTGGCGAGTCACGCGCCGTGGAAATGCGAAGGCTCGCCCGTTCGCCAAGCGGCTTGGCGTTCCCGTCGGTTGTCGGTAAATTTGGCACGAGTCAAAGGATGAACGAGCATCGCAGGCTCGGCTTGTCCGAGCTTGTGAATCCGTTCCCACACAGCATTTGCAGTTTTCCCTCAGTGGCGTTGTGTTGTCAAAAGGTGGCTAGTGCATCCAATGTTTTTAAATTTTCCTATTTTCACTTTAATTTTACTTTCAGAATGGAGTGGTCTAACGATTTGATTCTAGAATTTTTGGAACTATATGAAGGGGAACCAGCTATATGGAACCCAAAGGATCCGAAGCATAAAAACAGAAATTTGGTGCACGATAGCTGGAAACGGATTGAAAGCAATTTGACTATGAAATGTTCTGTTGCAGATCTCAAAAAGAAGAAAGAAACGCTGATGGCAACTTATCGAAAACTGTTGCAAAAAGTTAAAAGAAGCAGTGGAACTGGCTCCAGCTGACGACGTTTATAAGCCAGATTTACTTACCTACTTCGACTTTTATACAAAGACGTCATCCACCATCGTCTTTTTTTTTTTCTTTATTTTTGTTTGCTTTTAAATATTCACCGCTCATTACTATAAAAGCTGAAGCACAAATTGCAATACGCTGATTTTATTCTTGTTTTGGCGTCTCATCATTTTCCTTGATGCAAACTACTCCAGAATAACAATCCAGTGGGTGCGTCGAGCGCAATGTAGAACTTGGCGAGTGACGTTGCAAGCTGTTCAACGCGCCGTGGGAATAGTCACGGCTCGTCGACTTGCCACTTGGCAAACTGTTTGCCAAACCGATGAACTCGGCAAGTCACTCGCCAAGTCCCGCGCCGTTGGAAACCGGCTTTAGATATACCTACACAGTAGGTTGAATGGTCTGACGCCTATCAGAAAACAACTACTCCCCTGGCTAATACCGCGAACGGCGTTGGATTATATCCGACAGGCGTCAGTGCAGGAATTTTCACAGAAAATATCCTGCACATGCAATTGGCAATACAACCGAAAGAGTTGGCCCTCTTGCAGACGGGTTTCGGGCTCATTGCTCATTAGCCACTCGTCAGTGCAAGATAGTGACCATCATCGACCTAATGTCAATGATATTCCATAATTGAAAATTGAAATTCTTTCAGAGTATTTCATTCCTCTCCTAAGTTGGAGCGAACAACAAACATATCACTCCATCTAGTGTACGAGGTACTAACCAACTGCATATGCGAAATTTGCCCGATTCCTCTGAAGAAAAACTTTCTTATTAGTCAGTGGGCTTGCTTGTAAACAGGTAGTAAACAGAACTAAAGAAATGAACTTAAATGTTCAAGCCAGTCTCAGATATACCTACACAGTAGGTTGAATAAGACTGGCATATGCCAATTGCACATGCAGGAAATTTTCTGTGAAGATTCCTGCACTGACGCCTGTCGGATATAATCCAACGCCTTTCGTGGTATTAGCCAGGGGAGTAGTTGTTTTCTGATAGGCGTCAGTCCATTCAACCTAGTGTGTAGGTATATCTGAGACTGGCTTGAACATTTAGAGTTCATTAGTTTAGATCCGTTTACTGCCTTTCTTCAAGCAAGCCCAGTGACTAATAACAACGGTAGTTTTGTATTAATTAGTATTACTTTCTAAGCTATTTTATACACAATCTTTACTTTATGTACTGCAATTACTGTCTTCATATCTGTCTCTTCGTTAGTGTTTAATTCTTATTTTCTATATTTTGTGTATCAATTAAATAAATGAATAAATGTAACTGAAGACCCCAATAGTAGTTTTCCCCAGATATCCTTCATGTACAGACAGCGAATAGTTACACTTTCATTACATATTTTTTAATACCCAAGAAATTAATTGAAGTTAATTACAATTATTATTATAATTGCTTCTGTCATGCAAATGTTTGTTCATTTTGCAGAGAATACATTTTATTGTTTGACTTCTCAGAAATTTTGGAGATTTATTTTGTTTACTGCAAGAATTTTTGAAATCGCTAACATTTTCAAAGAATATTGAAACTAAACAAAAAATATTAAATTCATATTGGGAGAGTTCTGAATACTTACTAAAATATGCTATGCTATAAAAGCGTGTTTTTTAAACTATATTTATTATTTTGATTTTCTTTTGAACAACCTATCAAGGAGGTTACAGCGCCATTTGTCCGCGAATAGATCAAACAATAATGTCGATAGTTACGTACAGCGCCATCTGCCCGTGAATAGATCAAGCAATAACGCCGATGATTCTGCCAATAAAGATACCGAGCTTGAGAGTTACAAACAAACATACATACAGGCGTAGCTAATATAAAGCGTGTAAAAAAATAAACCAAATATCCTAAAACATGTATTGTCATCAACCTAAGCCTTTTTATTCTTATCAGAAACGGTATATTTCTCATAAACTTTAGTAGGATCATAAGGCTCCCACCTACTAGCAGGAAAAATATGTTTATTCCTCTCGTACCAACTCCTGAGCAGGACTTTACCGGCATGAGATTCTTCCTTCTCAATTGACGCGTCGCTAATCAACCTCACATCGTCGTGGACATCAAATTGGAAAAGTGGACCACTCTTTCCACGAGCCTGAAGCAGAAACAAGCAAAGATCAGGCAAATTTGTAACAATGTTTTAGACGTTTCATGATTCTTTTCAGATTGTCATCCTTTCTGTTGAAAGAATCCCCTACCTTAGTCACAATAAAATCATAAAATGTGTAGTGATGTGGCAGAATTAGATCTTCCTTGACGTACATCAGTTGGTCAGCCATAACAGTCTTCAACTCTGAAAACTCCTTCCTCAGAAGTTCCAATACTCTCTGTAGGAACTGGTAAACAGAGTTACCTAAAAAGCATGAACTCAAATCATTGCCACTAATTTCAAAGCTAGATTTCCCTACCTTTCTTCACTCGAACAGTCCTCCTATGCCCCGAGCCATCCCAATAACTGAACGTTATTTCAATCTCCTCTTCTTTGAGCTTCTGCTGCTGCTCGGACCACTGTTGTCGCAGCTCCTCTCTCAGTCTGTTTTCTTCCTCCTCTCTCTCCCTGTCGGGTAAGAAACTTGTATCAACGTTGGGGTCCTTTTTTATTTTCTTCAAGTTCGACCTTTCCACCTCTTCGCTGGACCTTTTGAAGTCGTTCTTCGATTTGTTTGTGCCCCCATCCGAATCTCCATCTTCATCTTCGTCCTCGTCGAGTGTGAATGAGAGAGCCTGGATCTAGAACAGGAACTATCATTTTTTACTTTAATCTGTGGGGGTGAGATTGGTACAGAGGAAAAGTGATACGATACCTGTTTCTTCTGCTTGTTTTTCTCCGCTTGCTTGGCTTCAAGCTGTCTCAGCTTCTCCCTCTCTTTCTCTGCTTGCTTCTGGGCAAGCTTTTTCTCTCGCTCTTTGACTATGTTTTCTTGTTTGGCTTTCATTTCATCTAGAGTGACGAGCCCAATTGTGGAGGTCTGTAAATTAATCGGTTATCACTGTGGAATTACAGTTTAAATTCAATGCTTTACTTTGAGTTGCTGCTCCACTGCATCGTAATGTGTAGCGAACTTGGTTTCGATATTATTCAATTTCAAATCTTCCTCAATTCGTTTTTTCCTAATTTCCAAATCTTGCATTTCCTTCTCTCGTTTTTTCATGAGCTGCATAGCTCGGCCTGCTTCGCTTGCTGCTCCTTTGTAATGTGCCATTTTTGGAAATTATTACAGACTATATTTCCACTATTATAAGAAAATTAGAAATCCTAAATACAACAGTTCGAAATATTCCAAACTTCACTCAATAACAAAACGTCTACAAACTTCAAAACTTCAGTTGTCAACTTCACTTCGTCTACTTCTTTATTGCGAAATAGGCCTATTCGCTGAAGGCAATGGACAATGTCCATACATATTCAGAAGTGTTGGGCTTTTTTGACGAAGGCTTGCATTTTAACATTCTATGATTCAGCCACTGCTGTTAAACAAGATCATAGTTTATTAAACTATGATGAAGTATAGGAAACCTTTGGCTTGAAATAGGTATAATGAAAATGCAAACAGAACTATATCATACTTTTGATGTACTGCTTAGAACCTTTGGTGTAGTAATGAATATTACTGGAGTTTTTTTCCAACACCAAATCGTTATTTTCAACACTTTGACACGTGTTTTGACACTTGGTGATGGAAACACGTGTCGAGGTGTTAAAAATAACGATTTGATGTTGGGAAAAAACTCCAGTAATATTCAGAACTATATCATGTTACGTTCGAATTGCGTTTATATCTCATCATTTTTATTGAATCAGTACAGTACTACAGCAATTTCTGATCAGAAGTAGCAAAAATGTATTTCAATAAGTAAAGTACATTAGAACAATTGAAAATGAAACATGGTGCTTACATGAAATTATCAAAATAATCCGAAAAGCTAATTTTGAATCGTTGAACGTGTGTTTTTCTCAAATTATAATGTTCTCAAGAATTATTTGAATCGTTAGACATTCCATTTTTTGCAGAAAAAAAAAATCTACTTCTTGTTATAATACTTTTACTCCATTAGCAGAAGTTTTATGACCGAATATATCGAAACCTGAGAGGATCAAAGGTGAAAATAAAACAATTCTAGATATGACGATCAGTTATTATTCTTTTCTTACATTCTAATTGTCAGCAACAAAATGTAGCAAAAATAATTGTACCCCATCATTCACCCATATAACTATTTTAGATATACTTAATAAATATCCAAGATAACGATAAACAATTACCATTTTACAATATATGAACACAAATACGTTTTAGATATCCTACAGGTTGATACAGTTTGATTTGATTAGCAAAATTTTTAGGCAACATATCAACAAGGACAATACAAGCTAGATATGTAGGAGAAAGTTAGCCGGCTTGGACGAGTCAAGGAAAACGAATAGCAGGTAGAGAGAGAGAGAGAGAGAGAGGGACTAAATATCAGGAAAGAGTGAACTTCAGATACAGGAACTTGCAACCAGCTTAGTGTCCACACAACATATTGAATATTGAACTAGACAGACACACAAAAAAACGCAGAAATATTAGTTTGTAATATGAAATTCTTCCTAACTTCGGAACTAACCATAAATCGACCTCACAAACAATTTGGCAATGTCGCACGCACAATCAGAACAAGAATAAAGAAGAAGAAAACTAAATGTTTTACAGTGTTGCCAGATCATAACAAATGTCTTTATTAAAAAAACTACTGAAAAAAATGGCAAATATAAAAAGAGGTATTACACCTGCAGTTATCCCAATATCAGTGTAAAGATCCATTGTTTTTCACCATGAAATTTTACGATCTCTAATCAATGTTGACAAATTTATGTGAAACTTTCGAAATAATAAAAATGAGATATATTGACCTCAATTCATTGATTAGAATAAAATTAGACCATTCATAATATTTCAAAGATAACAGGATAAAAAATAGAGGGCTCTAGATCAGCATATGCTTACCATCTGAATAGAAAATAGGAAATCAAAATGTTCACTACAGTTGCAAGTAGTTTCAAAATGTTGAAACCAAAAATAAAAAACAATTTCTCAGGATATTCATTCGGGTTTTTTATTTGTAAATATAAATTGAAAAATATACACATGCATTGAACACAGTAAACTTTAAAAATTGAGAAAAAATATATAACTAAGGACAGAGCACGAAATAAAAATATTAAAAATACATCTTGCAGTCTGGCATATAGTTATAAAATCTATTCGATATGAACTAATAAAAGTATCCAAGGACCCCCGAAACAACAGGACATATATAGGTCAGACTTAACACAAATTAAAATAATTACTAACTGAAATATATCTTTCAGAAGGCTAATCGAAAAAGAAAACTATGTCGAGAACAAAAATAACAGAGCCTCAAATTTTCTACCAGAATTCTAACAAAAAAAACCTTGGTTTGATGATCATTTCTCAAAAAATCATTCTGGCAATCTGAAAGAGCTGCTGTTAACACTCAAAGTCCATTTTAATTTTTCAATGTACTTTTTTTTTCTCTAAAAAATCCAGTTCAGAAATTGAGTGATTTCCCTTTTTTAATGTTCGTGGTTTGAGAATGATGACTAATGTATTCATATGTTTGGATATATGATACTTGAACATCTATAACATGTTGAAGAAACAGAGTAAGTTTATCACTGAACACTCACAAGAACGCAACACGTGTTTCGTTCTACATCAGCTTCTTCAGGCCTAACACATAGTATAGAGTTAGTATAGACTGGCCTGAAGAAGCTATTGAATAGCGAAACACGCGCTGCGTTTTGCAAAATTGGTTAGTGTAAATCTCATCATGAAGTGTTCCTTACATAGGTTTGGAGTTTGTGGGTTCTGGAGTTATGGATCTGAAGATGAAATAAGTGGCCGAAATCCAGTGAAATCAAGCACACAATTCAAACAGCTACAATAACTTTTACCATCAACAGAACTAAGTGAAGAATTCAGTTATTTTCTGTATAAAAATGAGAAGTGTCACTGTCAAAAAGGCGTCAATGAAGTTGAACAATCAGAACGGCTTCCTGATGAAGGGCAAGTTAGACAAGACGCAACATACGTCGTATACCCCAACAATATTCAGAATAATACTGGGCCAGAAAATAAGGACAGTCAGAATGCGAACCATGCAATAAATATTTCAAGAAATCTTGTTATATCCTGCAACATAACAAGACTTTTCAAATGTAGGAAAGGTGCCAAAAAAAATTTACTGACCAACGACAATAGTTAAAGGATTAAGGGTTCAATGGCATTAGATTAGGGATTGACATATCATGAGTTAGGGATTTGAGGTTAGAGTTCTCCAAGTTGTGATTTAAAAAAATAAATGTGTGTAGAGTATGACTATCATAATTAAAAGAAAGAACATTATGCAAATGTGTCATGTGAGGATAATATATAGACCAATTCTTCATGAGTTTTCTCACCCGGGATTCAGGGTCAGTTTGAGGATTATAGGTTTAATGATATTCAATTAGGGATTGACATATCATACACTAGAGAAAGAGGGACAAACAATTCGACTGTAAAATCTTTTCAAAGAATCTCAATTATAAAGTCGACTTTAAGCGGAGACAAACCACACATTTGCGACAAATGTGGCAAAGGATTCAGTAGAAGGGATCATATGAATAATCACATCCGGACACATTTAAAAAAAAAAATGAATTTGAGTAGAGTACAATTATCACAATTAGAGTAATGAACATTACATCATGAGTTTTCTGACCTAGGAATTGAGGGTCAGTTTGAGGATTATAGGTTTAATGATATTCAATTAGGGATTGACATATCATACACTTGAGAAAGAGGGACAAACAATTCGACTGTAAAATCTGTTCAAAGAATCTCAATTATAAAGTCGACTTCAAGCGGAGACAAACCACACACTTGCGACAAATATGGCAAAGGATTCGGTAGAAGAGATCACATGAAAAATCACATCCGGACACATTTGAAAAAAATGAATTTGAGTAGAGTATAATTATCACAAGTACAGTAATGAACTTTACATCATGAGTTTTCTGACCTAGAAATTGTGGGTCAGTTTGAGGATTATAGGCTCAATGATATTCAATTAGGGTTTGACCTATCACGATTTAGGGATTGAGGGTTATAGCTGTGAAGTATATGTCGTATCTAAATCATTACTTGAAATGTTGTGGTGAAAAATACTATTTGAAATTACACCGAACATTAAAAAAGGGAAATTACTGGGACACAAAATTCTGGTGTCAAATTGGAACTCTGTACATTGAAACACTTTAAATTTGTATACTTTTTTCTCTTAGATCACTTTCCTGACCTGTGTTCATTAAAATTACTATTCCAGTTGAATAACTATTTTTCAAAATCATAAAATATAAAATCAAAGAGTTTTCAACCGCTCTCGTTCCTCTACCTCGAAAAAATTAAAATCAATATCCCGTTCAACCCAGTGTCGTCAGCACTTACTCGGCAAAAACATTCCGCGTCAGTATCGAAACAGAGGAACCGAAAGCTGAGAAAACTCCCTGGAAAGCACAAATTAAAAATATAGGAACAATTCCGACGTCTCTTCATATGAATCGCCCCTACTTTGGCTAAAAAACAATACACGTGTCTCATTTGTACCATCATTAATAAAATCAGTTCTTGTACCTAAAAATCTAACCTAATAGCTTTGAAAAATTACTCTCCAAACAGCATCTTCCAATCGAATCTCTGATTGTTGGAGTGCATCATCGGCAGGCAAACGGGTTCGGCCATTTCCCACTTGTCTCCGTTGCCGGTCAGCTGTACTAGGGCGCAGTACGGGATTTTCTGGATGATCTTGATCAGGTCATTGGGCAACTTCGGTTTTCTGCCCAGAAGTTCGTGGGAACAGGTTTCCAGAGTGGTCGAGTGACCGACCAGGAGGATGTTGCCCGTGTTGTGAGCTGTGATGACACCTGAAGACGATAATAATTCAATTTCAGGCGAGTCAGTCAAGACAAAAAAGAACAGAGCATAGGGAAAGTATCTTGATATAACCAAACACCAACTTGTGTCAAATTTCCAAAGACACGGCAACGCACTAGTTACTGAGATATAGCACAGTACTGGTTCTCGAGATACAGCATAACATTGATTCCGGATATATAGCATAGCGCTAGTTCGAAAACTATAACATAGCAGTGGTTCCTGAAATATGGCATAGTACTAGTTCCTGAGATTTAGCATAGCACTGATTCCATAGATATAGCACAGTTCTAATTCCGGAAATATAGCATAGCATTGGTTCCGGAAATACAGCATAGCACTGGTTCCGAAGCTATGGCATATCAGTGGTTCTTGAGATATGACATGGCAGTAGTTCCCGAGATATAGCATACCATTGGTTCCGGAAATATGACACAGCACTGGTTCCGTAGATATAGCATAGCCCTGGTTTTGGAAATATAGAATAGCCGTGGTTCCTGAGATATGACAGACCAGTAGTTCCTGAATTATATCATAGCGTTTGTAGCGGAGATATAACACAGCTTTGGTTCCGAAGATATAGCATAGCATTGGTTCCGGATATATAGCATAGCACATGTTCCAAAACTATAACATAGCAGTGGTTCCTGAAATATGGTATAGTACTAGTTCCTGAGAGTTAGCATAGCATTGGTTCCAGACATATGACACAGCACTGGTTCCGTAGATATAGCATAGCCCTGTTTCAGAAATTTAGAATATCAGTGGATCCTGAGATATGGCAGACCACTAGTTCCTGAATTATAGCATAGTGTTAGTTGCGGAATTATGACACAGCTTTGGTTCCGGAGATATAGCATAGCATTGGTTCCGGATATATAGCATAGTACTAGTTCCAAAACTATAACATGACAGTGGTTCCTGAAATATGGTACAGTACTAGTTCCTGAGATTTAGCATAGCATTGATTCCAGAGATATAGCACAGTACTGATTCCGGAAATATAGCATAGCATTGGTTCCGAAAATACAGCATAGCACTGGTTCCGGAGCTATGGCATATTCATGGTTCCGGAAATATGGCATAGCAGTAGTTCCCAAGATATAGCATAGCATTGGTTCCAGAAATATGATACAGCACTGGTTCCGTAGATATAGCATGGCCCTGGTTTCAGAAATGTAGAATAGCAGTCGTTCCTGAGATATGGCAGACCACTAGTTCCAGAATTATAGCATAGCGTTAGTTACGGAGATATGACACAGCTTCGATTCCGGAGATATATCGTAGCATTGGTTTCGGATATATAGCATAGCACTAGTTCCAAAACTATAACCTAGCAGTTGTTCCTGAAATATGGTATAATACTAGTTCCTAAGATTTATTATAGCATTGATTCCAGAGATATAGCACAGTACTGATTCCGGAAATATAACATAGCACTGGTTCCGAAGGGATGACATATCAGTGGTTTCGGAGATATGGCATAGTAGTAGTTCCTGAGATATAGCATAGTTCTGGTTTCAGAAATCTAGAATATCAGTGGTTCCTGAGATATGGCATACCACTAGTTCCTGAATTATAGCACAGCGTTCATATCAGATATGGCATAGCATTGGTTCCAGAAATATGATACAGCACTGGTTCCGTAGATATAGCATAGCCCTGGTTTCAGAAATATAGAATAGAAGTGGTTCCTGAGATATGGCATACCACTGGTTCCTGAATTATAGCGTAGCGTTAGTTACGGAGATATGACACAGCTTCGGAGATATGGCATAGCATTATTTCCGGAGCTATAGCATAGCAATCGTTTCTGAGTTATGGCATAGCACTGGTTCCGAAGCTATATCATAGCAATGAATCCGGGGCTATAGCATAGCAACGGTTCAGGGGCTATATCATAGCAACGGTTCCGGAGCTATAGTATAGCAATGATTCCAGGGCTATAGCATAGCAATGATTCCGGGGATATAGCATAGCATGATCAAAACACAATATAAATTGTTTTTTCAGCTTTTTCCAGCGTGCCCGACAAATTATTAATTTTCACATACTCTATTTTGGCATCAGCTCATTTTAATTTGAACAATTGATTTTTAAAAGAATGTTATGTTGTTCCAGATGTATTTATGTTTGAGTGATATCCATTTGCCAGTCCAGGAATTCTCTCCACCAGAAAGCTATAATTAGTATGACAGATGGCTGTGTGAAAAAGTTGTGTTTCTAGTTTGTTTCACAGAAAAAATCAACCCAAACTCTCCTGGGTTCTATTGGCAGTGTTAGAAGAAAAAAACCAGAAATTAATGCGATGTTATAGAATCTAAATGACTATAGAAAAGATAAGTAATACCTTCTTTTGATTGGTTGTTTAAAGTTTGTGTAGTGAATCATAAACAGCGTCTGTAGGCAACTTGCTTCTAGCATGTACACTTTGCACTTAGCACAGGAATGTCAGCACATTATATTCATTGGAATTTTATTAAAAATATGTAATTGTTAATGAAAATAAATCTAACCTGGAGCCAGACCCAGCCGAACCTATATTCAATTAGGGCACTTGGAACTTGGAAAAGATTACATTATTAGTAAAATTTACAATGTATCATTTCCAAGTTTCAGATGCACTACTTGAATTTAACTTTGGCTGCAGTTTATAACTCAAAACAATTATTACGTATTCATAAAAACACTTGGATGTGAGATTTCCACTTGACAGTTTACAAAACCGTGACACGTGTTTCGCTATGCAATAACATCTTCAGGCGTCAAAATACTAGCTATCGTATAGCGAGTATGCCGAGCAAAACTCTCATTTCAAAATGAACTTGAAAAAAACCCATAAAATGCAGTTAGTTCCGAAAATACTCACTTCTGGTGATGAGGGCGTTCCTCGCGTAAAACTGGTCACAGCCTTCCTTATACTCGTGCACATCCTTGACGGAGACGCAGGGCACGTAGGTTTCATCGATGTTGTAACCACAGTTCTTGAGTTCCTCGATCGACATCCAACCGGGAACGTCGTCCTTGTACCAGGCGGTCCACTCAAACAGACCAGGCTCCACACGGATCTTTATTTGATCCTTCTTGTTGAGGCCCCTCAGAAAACCGTCGCAGGTCATGATGGAGCGCAACGCTGGAGAGCAGTACGCGTAGTGGATGTCCATGTTTTTCTCTCTGAAGGATTCGCCCAGCTGGAAATTGAGATGTTGATGGAGGCAGGGATCGATAAAGTGTCGTTTGTCAGGGTTTGATACTCTAACATAATATCTTTTTTCTGATACGTAATGATTACTGACGAAAATCAAATAGTTTTCATAAAAGAGCTCTAAAACAACGCATTATAAACTTATCATTTCAACCTTTTTCTTTAAAAAATTATTTAAATACTTGAAAAATAGGAATAAAATAAATCATTCAAGATTTAAAGGGATTCGTTTCTATTTCACCATTTGGCAACATTAGTTATAGCTAATAAAGAACAATGAATCTGTTACCTGTATGAGACAAACAAAGATGACATAATATTTCAGAGGCGTGCTGTTCTGTTTACTTATGTTCCGAGTTCTGAGACATTCTGTGACATATGACATTTTGTGCACCATCTATCTTCCTCTATATAAATAAATAACAAAACAACTGTTGTTTATGTGGCTTGTGGAGGTGGTATTGAACTATAATTTATATTTTGCCTTAATTGTTGATTTATAAAGATAATTTTCCTTTTTTTAAAGTAGAATATCTAGGTAAGTATGAATTATTTCAACTTGATACAGGCGCTGTTGCCAATATGTGAATTAGAAACAAATCCCTTCAAAAATTAAAACCCAAGGTTTGAAACACATCAATTTGAATAATTTTCGAAGTGAATTTGAAAAACTCATGAATTAAACTCAACTTTATTTTGTTCAAACTTGCATTTCCTGTAATAACCCAAATTGAGGAACATTCCCCATTGTAAAATTGAAAGTGTTTTCAGAAATTTATGAAAGATCAAAGATAGATCC